GTGACACCAAAAATGTTTATGAACCAGCGAATACTTAAAGGCCAATTTTGACCTCTATATCTATCTCCTGTGTCTTTCTTTTATCTTTATGATTTTCCACTTTTTCTTGAACGTGATTTGTTTAATTACATTTCAAATAATTTCCTTGCTACATGGCTTGCTGAATTCCATTAGTTTTTCATTCTATCTTAATCATTCTTGTTTTCTTGAAGTGAGCACCTTGGCACAACGCCACCTGGCGCCTCTTTTGCAGCCTACTAATGCCAGCCAGCTCGAGCCGCGACATAAGGCGCTTGTGGTTAAACGGTCAATGCGATGCCGGCGCTGTGAACACAACATGAGCAAAGCTGACTTCAATCCTAGTTCTATTAAGTTCCGCATCAATTTGAGTGCCTTATATCATGTACCTGAGGTACGTATCATCCCACCTGTATTAGATGAATCAGTCGTTCAGCCCATCAAATCTTCACAATTGCATACTAGCGACGCCAGCAATAGTAGCGGTCCTAGCAGCAATAGGATTCGCATTGGTAATGAAGCTGGCAGAAGTCCTGATAATGCTGGTGCTGGCACCTCTCTAATCAAGGGGCATCGAACTTCAGCACATGTTTCAATCTTTGGTCCTAAAATGCAAACATACCTGCATGCCAAGGCGATGCCAGGCAAGGTTAGAATGCAGAAACTACCTATATTTTATCGTATACTCAGTATAGTTCATTAAACGAATTCTGTCTAAACAAAGCCCAGACAGCTCCCAACAAGATCTTCCAGTTTTATTCGTAAATATGAAGGCAAACATGTGCACTCGGGGTTGCAGTCTCCTTTAGCTGCTTATAAGTGGTCTGACCTCATTTTCACAATTTGGTCGTACTGTCAGAGCGACTTAGATGGATGCGCTTTGTCAGAAGTCTTCTGCCATACTACCTATTATAATTCCCACCCTTTGGCTCTGGACTTAGTAGATTCCCAGATGTTTTGCCAGCATCATCATTGAGTCTTACCACTATTAGCATCAATCTAAAACTCGTCAAAAAGATTGTGTAAGTTTTTATTTGCTCGTAGTCTTTAGCTGTATAATGTTTGCTTGACCTCGTTTTCGCAACTTGATCAGAGCAACAGGGAGACCTTGTGGAACGTACGTAGCCCTATTTCCTCTGCCAGAGTATTCATAATTGATTCTAGCGTCGGACCGTTGGCTTGGTACATTCCAAGGCGTGTCGCCGGCATCATCAGTGAGAGGCACCATCCTTTTCATCGAGTTACAACTTATCAGTGACAAGTGAAGGCAATTTCCTATTCAATCATTGTGGCATCACTCTTCGACTATTTTTTGTACTGCATCTCTTTCTCTCAACCCTACTTCATATGGCTCATTGACCCTTAATTTCGCCTAGAGTTTATCGTTTCAAGTAGATTTAGTGTGGCGTAACCAACTTCACCATCGGTTTAGATGTCGTTCAGAGAGCTTCTGGGTCATGGCCTCGGACTTTTATTTAGCTCTCCTACACCTTGCTTGTCATTTGTTACTCTACACATGAATATCACTGTCTGGCTGTTAGTTTGCCACAAGACTTTGGTAGCATGTATACTATGGCCTCATAGAGCAGAGCTATTAGGCTCTGATTCCTAACGTCGCAATTATCAGGCAGTTTTTCCACTGTCGATCTCTGTGATTTAACTCGTGTAGCCTGAGCAAAATGTGAAAGCCTCCTGCATCTCAAGTGAATTTCTAGCCATTTTTTTCTCAGATCTACTAGCAGGGTATTCTTCACAAAAATGTAACAATGTCA